ATAGTGGGAGCTGCTCTCGTCAAATCCTCTAGAACGACAAAAGCGTCGTCAGCGGAGCGGCCTGGACGGAATCCTACCTGGTCGTGCGCTTGTTCTTTCTCTAGGTCAGGCTGCAAGCCTGCAAACAGTAAACGTGCAAATATCTTAAATGTCAGCGTAAGCTGGCGATGGGCCGTCAATTTTTTATATCATTTCTGCTCCTCGTCTTCGGAAACATGACAAAACACGTTTCCTGCTATGTGGGATCGATGCATTTTGTGTTGAGCAACGAATTCAAGCATGACAACAGGTGCTTGTGCAGAGCGTCGCCTCCATACGCAAGCATTTCGAGGGTGATGCCACGTTGATCTGCGCACTTCCCGCGCTTCATGCGCTTGAAAGCTTGTCGCAACTCCTCCATGCAAAGCGGTGCGATGTTATACGCGCCTCTGTTGCAAAGTGCCTCGGCCCAGTCGTTCCTAGCAGCGTCGCAGTCCGTTGTAAGAATCTGCTCGAGCGAAGCCTTACAACATTGCAGTCTAATGGACAACGCTTGCTCTGCTGCGAAGGGAACAGGTGAACGCGAGGAAGGTGCTTGATACCCTCATATTTCAACAGTTGTGACACAGCACGCGCATCGCAGTACTCCCGCATGCGTTTCAGGTGCTCTCGAACAATTGCTTGGACATTCTGGACCGTTCTTGTGGGTCACGTGCATCGCGTCGCTGTCGACGCATCTAGCCTGATTCCGGTGCGTCCCATGGCTTCGCATGGGAGCGAGTTGCGTTATTTGAGCTCCAGCTCGCGTGGCTGCGGCTGCAACGTGGTCCTCAAGTATTCAGCGAGAGATTCTTGCACTGTGCTCTTATATAACAAATCGCGGCCCTCGACGTTGAGCGAAGGTTTCCATCTAATTGCATCGTGCTGACGGCTCTTCTGGCGCCGAATACTCGGGCCTAGGTTAAACGTCCCGAGTACCGCACGGTGATCAGAACCCAGATCTAAGTAGTTTGTCGGCGAGCAAGACTGGCAATGGAAAGAAACATCAAACAGTATACAATCTAAAACTGCAGGAATCCAGAGACCCCCAGCAGGTTTACTGTGAGAGATCATGCCATTGCTGGTATGGCTCAAGGCAAGCATCCGAAGAAAAGATCTCGCCATGGTAGCGGAGCCGTGGTCCCGACCCTCGCAGTCCACAGGGTCGGGCTCCGCGGCTCCCTCTCCCGCCAGCGGCGCGGCGAGCCCCAGCAGCCTGGGGCCGGCCGCCGGTGCGGGAGCCGCAGCAGGGCTTGCCGGGCCCAGCTCCAGCGAGGGCGACGAGTGGGAGCTCGTCGAGGTCCATCGAGGCTGGAGGAGAGTGGCGAGGCAGCTACGCAAGCTGTTCAGGCTGAGGAGGACCTGGGCAGCGCTGGGCCAGCACCTGAAGGATTTCACGAAGCTGCTCGCGAACCGCCGCTGAGATGGCGGAGGAGCGCGTGCAGGCTCTAGAGCAGCAGATGATAGCGCTGGCCCAGGAGCTGCAGAACCGCCAGCAGAGGGAGAACGATCTCACGGCCGAGGTGCAGCGGCTCGGCCGTGTGGCCGAGGCTAGACCACGGGTGGACGGGCCTGTGCTACAGCCTCGAGCCGAGTCGCTCGTGGACACCCGCACGCTGGGCAAGCCAGACGTGTTCACGGGCGAGGAGCACAAGTGGAACGATTGGAAGGTGATCTTCAAGGCGTACTGTGGCGTCGTGAACGCCGACTTGCTGGCGGGGATGCGACTGGCAGAGAGCGCTGACGAGGCCTCAGTTCAGAACGATGACTTCCTCGAGGAGAACATGAGGCAGGCCTCGCAGCAGCTGTATTACATCTTGCTCCTCCTCTGCCGGCAACATCCCCTGACGACGATCGTGAATGCTGGCGAGAATGAGGGCTTCCAGGCTTGGCGTAAGCTGGTCGAATACTACGAACCGAATGCGAGGTCCCGCATCGCGGGGCAGCTGCTGAACCTCCTGAACTTCTCGTTCACTGGCGATGTCGAGGACCGGCTGGCGCTGTTCGAGCGAGAGCTCCTTAGATACGAGCAGAGGAGCGGCGAGGCCATCACAGCCTCTATGAGGATCGGCATCGTCTTTCGGCAGCTCGAGGAAGGCCCTCTACGCCAGCATCTCTTGCTTAATGCGACCAGGCTGGTGGAGTGGCAGGACTTCCGACGTGAGGTCACCGACATCCGCCGTGCCCAGAGCGCCATCGCCCCGGTGCCCGTGCCCATGGACCTGAGCGCGTTCACCAAGGGTGACGGCAAGGGCAGGTTCAAGGGCGACGGCAAGGGCAAGAGCAAGTCCAGTGGCAAGGGCAAGAGCAAGGTCGACAGCCAGGGCAAGTCCAACAGCAAGTCACATGGTCAGCAGCTCGGGCCACTCTGCTGGGGCTGC